GAAAACTTTCAGTACCTTCGTGTTTCTTGTGCTGTGCACGATCTGAAATGCGTGGGCGAGATTGACACAGTATTTCTGTTCACACATACAATGTGTGATCGAAGGGCTGAGTGTTTTCTGACCATTCAATGAAATAACAGTTTCTCGAATTGGTCTTTGATCACTTTCTCGTAAGCCACCCCCCGTATGTGTTCAGCTATTCGATGACGTGACTGCTTCTCACTTACAACAACAATAACAACAACAAAAGCAACAACAAAAAACGAATTACCGAAATTCACCGATCCGCGTCCAGTTCACAATCACAAGCTAGATTTATGCAGACAACGTGAATGTCTGGTCACCTTAGCATTCATTGTCTTGGTGATTGACTCCCCCCTCCCCCTCCCCTCGTGTTTGCTTTTCATATTCTGTGCTGTCCGTTGTTAGTAGCAATCACGTTTTCATCTCACTTTCGTTATTTTACTGATTATAAAAATCACCTTGACTGAAGCATGCATTTGCAAAGATACAGCAAAATAACCATGGGTACCTGATGCAAAATGATGTTTTTAACTTCTTTGCTCAGCAAGTATCAACCAATCAGTGTTTGCGTTCTTTCAGTCTCTGTGGTTCTCATTGTACTGCATCGAATCTGTTCAACCCATAGAACGGCAGCTTCTTATTGTATGTCTTGAAACTGAACCACTTTTATTTCTGATTGGCGATTTCTCGGATCATTGGATCACCACACCACTCCCCTAAAACGAACCTCGTCGATTTGACTTGCTCTCCTGTTTGATCTTCGTAGAGCCGGAGGAGAATTCTATTCAACGGTCGAATTTGGCTGGAGAATTGAACTTTGGATAAGAGACCTCAGTAGTTCAGTGTTTCGGAGCAATAAGGCAAGACTCAGACTTTCTGAAATGGTTGGGACGAGCTATCGCATATATCATCAGGTCGGTGATGATTATCATGGACATTCTAATTTTTCGTATGATGATCGCATTGGGCTAATGTGGCGATACAGGCCTACACGATGGCGCCTGCCCTGGAGCGGTGCGTTACAGTTTCAAGACATTCGCAATCAATCAAGTTTGAATGCTGAAATCAATAGCACGTGCATGGCTTCTGAATACACGTCATTGACGGACGGTGCCAGCCAATCCAAGACAATGCAGACAGAAGCAAGATTATGCAAGCAGTGCTGCAAACCAATTGGTGGATGCCCAGGTAGCCAATAATCTTCTTTTGTACATATTATTTTATCACCTTTATTTCTTCTAATACACGAACTACTTGCTACCTGTCCTCTGGCCTTTTCCTCGCGTCTCGTTCTCGTGGGACATTGCGAATCCGTTCCGTTGTGGTCCAGTGCTTCTGCGATCCAGTCAGTGATAGTTGATTATTGATTTGGGTCCTGTAATTCATATTGCGCGGTTTGTATTCCGAATTCCGTGCGTATTATTACTACTACCACAATTGTTACAAGATCCTCTTGTGAAAACCACAGAGGAATTAGTTTAATCAACTTTGCTTCTAAACTTCTCGCCGGCATCAGACAACGCCGATTGTCTGCCGCACGTGAACGGTGCACACGTGAGAACCAGACTAGTTTTGGGTTCGGTTGAGGTTATATCGACCACATCTTCACAC